GTAGCAGCGGTAGCGGTAGCGGTAGCGGTAGCGGTAGCGGTAGCAGCAGCAGCGGTAGCGGTAGCAGCAGTAGCAGCAGTAGTAGCAGTAGGAGCAGAAGCAGTAGCAGTAGCAAACTTCATTGCACATGGTTGCACAGGTACTGCTTCCGCTACGGGATGCCCGCTTGCCCGTTTGTTCTGCAGTTGCTTGCAAGTGCCTTTGCGTCTCTCAGTGTGTGCGCAGTTATACTCCGAGATGTGTGCGGCCTTCGGTCGCTCAGCCAGCTGGGCTCACAAAGCGTGAAATCCAATGTATTCGTCAGCGGTCTCGCACGGCCACAGTGAGCGGTGCATCGTGTACAAGAACAATGCTTAGAGCCAACGCCCAGCAGCTAGTGGAGTCCCAGCTCGAGCCAATTCCGATGCGACTGATGGTCAATGTGAGACAGCCTCCTTGCTGCATTATGTGGGTTCCTTTGGGAGCAGGTTGCATCCGCATGCTGATGCTATGACGGTCTCTAGTACGCTCGTTACTGAAGCAGATGACTGATGGCTCCAGGATCACTCGGCATGTCGCTGCAGACAGCAACGCTTACCATCGAATTTGTTAAACATAACACACATGCACGGATAGAGAGGGCAAGGCTGCCAGAGAAATCTGTCTTGCAGGAGAAGTGTGGTGTCTGATCGTGCGGATGGTTTTGCGCTGTACAGAAACAGCGACGGTGCAGGATCTTGCTCGACCCTGATTGATGGAGTTAGTTGCAAATTACGTCGACTACACTGCTGCTAGCAGCTTGGCCGCTGTACTGAGATGGTGTGACACTGCTGGTTTATACATACTTCAGCAGCTGCCTGACCAGATTGCAAAGGAAAAGCTTCAGGCAATGTGGATGAAATCGGCTGTCATGAGAATGATTAAAGTCGAGATGCTGATCCATGGCGCGGCTTGGGAAAACGCTTTTGTCAACGGCAGCTGCTGTGGAACTGCCGTGCTCGTGAAACCGGTGCTTACACGACTTGGAAACACTAGCTACACGCTCCAGACTGAGCTGTCCCTGGCAAGCGGGACGCCGCTAGCAAGAGTCGAGACCGTCATGGTGCAATTGGATGACGATCTCGAGCGGCCTGTACCCGTGCCTCGCGAGCAGTTAAAGCCGTTACTCCATCCCTTGCCGGACCTCGTGGTGCCTTCTTTGGGACAGCCTCCTGCGTCATGCTTTACATGGACTGTCCAAGTCAGGCCATCTGATTGTGATTTGCTGGGTCACATGAACAATTCTAGCTATGCCGTACTCTTTGAAGATGCGAGGCATGCTTCTTTGCGGCACACAGGACTATCAGGAACTGGCACAACTTCAGACTCACACACGAGCAAGGCGTCAATCGAGTACATTGCTCAAGCAAGAGCCTTCGATGTCCTCGAAATTGATGTTTGGTGGGAGGCTGAGCACCAGGCCTACGGCCTGTGTATGCGTACCGCTGCAAGTGTCGTCGCTCGCGCTGCGCTGTTTCCATTTCACGCCTCTCGTCTCTGATGCGTTGGATTTTGCCAGATATGTGCCGTACCAATGATCCGCTGAGCGTGCTTACAGACTGGCGATCCGCAGGTTCTCTTTCCTAGTTTGGCCAGGACTGCACTCTGATACCGGCGGAGGAGTGGTCCTTTCTTCCCTGTGGCCCCGGAAACGGGTGGCTCTCTAGACATCCCTAGACTAGTCACCAGCGTGTCCGGAGTTAGTGTAGGTGGTCTGATCGACAAGGAATAGCCATTAACCCGCGAAGGGCGAGGACCCATCGCCCAGGCTCCATGTCGCCCGCATCCTCGTACAGCCGTAAGGAAAGCAAGAAGATGTTGGCACTGCCAAAAAACACAAGCACACAGAGCCCGATTTCGGTCGAGCTGCTAGTGCAAACTCCTTAGCAGCTGCTCTGCTTCATAGGCCGCCGGACCAAGGATCGTAGCCGCGCGATGACCACTACGAGTGGATGATGCAGGCTAAGCTGCATGGCGTGGCCTTGATCTGAGTCTCGATCCAGCACAGCAGACAGACGTTCAATGCAGGATGAAACTCCGCGATACATGGCCTCCACCAGCTCCTGGCAGCAGCGTGCGCGAAGTCCAACAGGCGGCCAGCGGCAAGCAGGAAGCTAAGTCTCCCCCTGTGCTTTCTCCAAGAGGCTTCTCGACCTCGGCTCCCAGGCCGAGCGAAGCAGGCGGCGACAGTTCTCCTCTGGGCAGCTTGAAGTACTGCCAAAGGAGGGAGAGACACAGGAGCCCAATGGAGCCCAATTCCGAAGTGCTGGTGCCATGCTGGTGCCATGGAGCCAGGAGCACAGGGGCAGTCCATCTCTCGAGGCGAGGACACACAAGGATGCAACTCGTGCGAATGTCATTTGTCGTCAGCTCAGGAGCTCCAAAGAATTCAGAAGACCTTGGCTGCGCGGCTAATCAAGCTGGACGAGGAGACACTTGGACAGACCTGGCCAAGACATCGATTGAGCGGTGCCAGGGTCTCCGTGAACGAGATTCGCAACTTGCAGAGCTGCGAGCCAGGTACCAGGCCGATTTTGAGCAGCGTGTCGATACTTACAGCTATGTTCTAGAGAAGCATACTGCCCTCACGAAAGCTGTATTCCGGAAAGTCGGCGTGCAACTCGGGTAGTGCCTATTGATGTCGCATACATGAGAGACCTGGAAGGAAGTGCAGAAAACGAACGAGGAGCTGGTGTGACGATGACTTAGCCACTGTGTGGCCCATTCGTTTGACAGTGTGGTCTTTCGCACATTTTGCAGGAGTGGCGCAGCCGTGCCTGCAACGCTGAGGAGGACACCGCGCCCTTTTCTGTGCTCTGCAGTGCAGCTGGGGCATATTGTAGATAGAGGCTATAAAGTCTGGATAAGACGGAAGGCGTCCCAACCCATTTGGTCTATGCAACACGATGACTGCAGATTTGGGAGACCTAAGCGTCGTCTCCGTGGTCGTCGTCGTGGTGCTGACAGTTGATGCAAGCACTGTCAACTTTTGTGTCTGCAATGCTGATGTGCAGGAGATGGCGGTGCTTCGGCACATGTTGGAGGAACGGACGGAAGAGATCCAGAGGCCGGCGGAGACGTGCCAAAAAGATAGGACAAGCCGGTCATCAGCACAAAGATTTGCAAAATTGATCCGAAGCGAGACTGGATCATGCTGCATGCACACAGGCCGTTTCCGAATTCACTCGGAGTGTTCATGGAACAGGCTGTCAGCATGCACGGGGCTAGATCGGCTGGGTGCTGATGTACTGACCACTGCTGCTCGATCCTCGGCACACTAAATCGTGCAGCGTATTCCATGGCATTCGATGGACACAGCAGTTCGAACGACATGACGTAGCCCCCGACTTCCTCCGGACAGATTACCAAACTTGACGAAATTCTACCAAATTGCTACAGTCGCCCTTCATGTAGACTCCAGACTCTAAAACTTGGTGTTGCTCCGCAACTCGACCAACGAGAAACATCACACGAAGTGCCACGCATCTGGAAATGAAGGAACGGACAACCGATAGCTCAAGTGGATTGTTCCACTGCCGGAAATAGCGGGAAAGGCTACTGGCGGTTGCTGGAGCAAGATTTGCAATAAGTCGGCCATGCGGAGAGCAAGACTCTCCGCTGCTTTGGCCGTTCTCTCTGCATCTCCTTGTCAGGTTGCAGAGCCAACTGTCAGAAGCTGTTGCTGGGCCCCGAGTGGCAGCCTGATGTCTGGTCACCGTATCGTCGCTGGATCGGATGTATCATGATGTATCCCCAGGAGCACTTTATAGCAGTAGAGCATCTCACGGCCGCGCGGATTCCGGCCTCTTCGACAGCTTGCCCATTGGCTACCCTGGTGCCGCCTTACGCTCTGGAACGCCTTGGATTCTCCAGGCTTTGCATATCTGATCTGTCGAAGAGGAAGACTTTCAGACAAAGAGGCGCATTGCACCGCTTCAGCGCAAAATGCCAGATTCCAGTTTCTTCATTCAAGTCCTGTGAAGCTAGGTTTTTTCCCGAAATTCCTTTCTAATGTTCAGCACAGCCTCTAGATTGCAACCCAGGGTTGAGGCCTTCCGGATCGGATCTGTGCCTCAGTGTCTCGAAAGGAGAAGCTGGAGTTTTGAGTTGCTAGGACCAGGACTCCCTTCATTTGCTGCCCTGTGGGACGAGGTACCATGAGCTGCCGCCGTCCGACATCAAGCAGGCCAGGGAGATTTCATCGGAAATAACACTGGAAATAAGGACTCAGACTCCTGAGCTGAAGCGGGAGATGGAGGGATTCAAGGGTGTAGCATGAAGCTAAATCGTCAACAGAACAAGCCTGCTCCATGTGGATCATCCTTAAATCCTCGATCAGACGGAGTGGTAAAGCCCTCAATGGAAACAGAGGGTCATTTCATGGACCGTTTGAAATTTGCCCTGGGCCGCCCAATTTATTAGAGATGCAGATGCGCGTTCGCCCGTGGATTGCTTGGCACAGCCATTTTCTGTGTACGGTCTCTATCAAACGTGGATCTAAGCTTGCCGACTAATCAAAGGGATCATCTAGTGCCCTCCGAGCCGTGATTTGGTTTTGGATCCCTCCAACTGCTCCACTCTAATCTCCTTTCAGCTACGAGCGAAAGTCTGCGACCAAACAAGTTTGAAAGTCCGATGTCTCCTGGGAAACTCGAAGACAACTGCACATTCTGGCATTGCTCCAAAGGCTTTGAGATGGTACAGACGAGGGGCGCGGATGAATCACAAAGGGTCTACCACAATGCGAGCGCCCTGGCATACTTCTTGAATTCTATGGAGCAAGGTTCCGCGGAAGAGTGTCCCATCAAACATTCAGAAAGATGTGGCGTCTGCATGGCAAGGCTTGGCAAGCTGCACTTGGCTGCTGCGCGGCACCGAGAGAAGGGCAGACTACGGCACACCAGTCCTTGTAGGTTGTAGTTGAGGCCTGGGAGGAGTTTTTGTTTCTGACATTGTTTGAGTGCTTTACCATAAGGGCCAGAAGGAAAAGGCGCTGCACTTCCTGCAGCGGACGGGGCTGCCACAGCGAAGCCATGGCCCCGTGTGCAAGAGCTGTTGGACAGTGCATCCACAGCACGACGAAGCCTCCAACCTTCATAGTGTGAGAAAGGCTTGGAAACACCGAGAACTTTGCGGCGGTCTGACGTCTTGGACAGAGGTTGTGCGACAAAATGTCTCTGAGTGGATAGACAATCGCGCGCCTCCTTGCAGGTCACGGTGGCGAGAGGGGCGACTCCCTGGCACAATGGCGGGCGACCCAGTCCCGTCGTGCTGGTTGTTGCACCACCCTCTAAGCGGTGCATGTCACAACTAACGGCTGGGAACCAGCCTCTGACAGCGAAAGGTTTCTTGGCGAGCTTTTCATGCAAAGTGCAAAACTCCGAGATGCCGCCGGGCTCCTGTAGAGTCTTCCTGGCCTGTGGCTGCACGGAGCAGTGAACACGTACATGCTAAGCTGTGCCCTATGCCATCCTATGCCCGCTGCTCCAGTCTGGGATCAACATTGATCAGGACCGCAGGTAGGAGTCACGACCTTCGTTTCGCTTCCCTTCCTCGGATCATGGCACCCCGCGGGTGGCCTGCGCGTAAAAGGGTGCACCATGTGGCAGGAAAGAGAGCCACTTATCAGACCGCGAAGACCATGGCATTTAGATCTGGAATGATGGGTGGATTATTTGGACCCACCGGCAGCGATTTTCCAATGCAGGCTCAGGTGCGATCAAAGGAGCAGTACATTCCAACGGCTGCGGGTGAGGATGTCCGGCATACTCGAACAGCAGCAGCAGCAGCACATCCAAGCAGGTACAGCCTGACAGACCTCGATGATCTGCGGGTTCCCGCCAGCACCAAGCTCATGGGCCATTTGACCCGGCTCCAGGATGAATTGCGAGGATGCATTTCTGCTGGGCCTTTGATGCCATCTGATCGGTTGCTGGATCAAGCCCTGCAAGATGAGATGCCGAGGGTCAGTCTGTGGAGCTCCTCCCGCATGCCAAATTCTGAGAGCATTGAGGTGGGCAAAGGAGGATCCGTCAAACAGAATGACCGCTTAAATTCAGATGCAAAGCCCGTTGTCGACATTGACTTGGATGGTTTGGAGAGTCTGGAAAGTTCTGTTGCTCGCGAATCTTTGCGGTACAGCCGGGCATGGAGGCCTGAGCTTTGCAATACTCGTGTGCTACGGCTGCTAAGGCTATATACTAATTGCAGGCGGATAGGCTGACAAAACTAGCCGGGATTGAGACACGTGAGGCGCCCAAGCACGCCTGCATCAGCAATTACATGGATCGTCATGTGTTGGTTGTTTTCTTTCGTGATTGCTCGCACCACGGATGTGTTTCGTTCGTGCAGATAAAGCAGAGTCTCAGGGCGAGCATCTCGCACAAGGCATTCATGGCAGCGAGAGAGACAGCGGGGGTTCATTGAGTTTGCGCACCAGTCCTGGTAGCCGCCTTACAACTGGCGAGATGAGGCTCGGGGGGTGCTTTAGGTTCAATTATGGGGGTTGCGGAGTTGTGGAGACGGGAGCCTCATCTGATATAGCTACTGAGCAGACCTCAACAGAAAGTGCGCGCCCGCGCGGGGGGGGGGGAACGTTGCTGCGATTTCTCCTTGACTGTGTGGAAGAAGGGTTCATTGGGGGAAACTTACGCACTCAGTTCGATACTCAGTGTTGTTGTTGTTGTTGAACGGGGGACACTATCAGCAAACCGTAGGGTCCAACAAGGGGGGAGTGATTGCGGCAGGGGCTAAGGACACAGCCTTAGAGGGCGCGGGGATGAGGCCTGAACATAAGTTTCAGTTCAGGGCTTGGCGGGCCTCCTGCAGCAACCGACCGCTCCAGCACAGACAAGCCGCCGGAGCGAACACCGCTCCGAAAACCTCAAAGCCGCTTCCCTAATGTACCATGGAGGGGGGGGGCCTTGGCGCCGGTCTGCGCGGCAGACCTGCCCCGCGGGAAGGAATGCAGGGTTCATCGCGGCCCAAGAAGACCTTCAACAGAGGGCGTGCCCCCGAAAGAGGAGGGAGGGCCGGGGGAGCGAAAGGGAATGTCTTCTCCAAAAGAAAGCCTGCCTGAATGCAGACTGCAAGCTCACTGGCCACCGTCAACGACTGGAACATGTAGCCTGAATCGTTGACCTGACATATCCCGACAAGAGCGGCTTGAGTTTGAAGTCTTCTGAGTGAAGCCCGGATGGTCTGACTGAGAAAGTGCCGCCCAATCCGACACGGGATGGCCCATCATGTTGAGGGGCAAGCACAAATCCTAACCTGATCCCAGAAGAGGCATGCCCGCTGCCATCCAATCTGATAGGTTGCATTACTGAGTGATCACTTCATGCATCGTTCTACGGTGTGGTTGGTGACAGAAAAGGTTTTGGTGACAGCCGATGTGTTCTGACCTACGCAGCGACATATAGCCCAAGTTCTCGCAGGTGCACTGCTGTGTCTGAAATGTTTTTTTGGGGTAGCAAACTGCGGTTCGTTGATACCTTCCACACGGGTCTTGCAGGATTTGCAGGTTCCAGATAGCATGGGCTCTGCACTCGAGAGTGCAAAGGCAAAGTCCCTCAGACCTCGGTGGATGTTTCGCTGGACCGCCTGCTGACTTTCGACGAATGCTCGAAATTGCACAGCGCCCTGATCGAAGGATGCTCAAATCGAGATGCAACAGGGTCCCGGCGGGAAGCAATCTGGAAAACTCCAATGTAGGGTAATTCATCGAAATAGATTGGTGAAGGTCTCCAGCCGACATAGTATCTCGACAATCCAGCCGCCGGGTTTGGCCTTCCTTATAAGCTTTGCTGCGCCATGAATTATTGTTCCTGGGCATCTCGTGCATGCCGGAAGGAAAACGGACGTGACATCTCGGACCTTGTCGCCGGTGAAGCCTTTGTGCCGGACTCACCTTCGTTGTCAGTTCCTTGCGCGCAGGATCACAGCACACTCTCACGACCAAGCAGCCGAGTCAGACGACCCCACTTGTGTCTGTAAGGCCATTGGAAGATGGAGTCTTGGACGACGTGTGCTTTGAGAAGGACTTTATAAGGAAGCATAGTTTGCTGCTGTGGCCTGGAAATTTCCTGAAAGCGAAGCTTGTTCTGCTTGGTAGCTCATTGCTTTGCCTGCGCAAGGCTTTCTACAAGTAGCCCCTTATGTAGGCCACTCCGAACAGGACCGTCGCTCCCTTGACATGGACACTTGGATGTGTCCAGGCGGATTGTTTGCACGGCGTTGTGGTCGTTCTGCATCTATCAGAATCGACAGTGGGTTAGGTGTGATGGCTCCAGCTTGATGGTTTAACTCATCACATACATGGAAGTGCATATCGCAACAACAATGACAAGGAGTGTGAGGCGCGAGCATAGAAACAGCCAGACAGTACAAACACAACAGTAGTCGGCAAATGACAGGACTTTGCAAAGCAGCAACTCGCGCGCCTGCAGTGAGTTAGGTCTTGCTTTGGCCAGTCTCACCCGCTAATTGCTGCTTGTCCCAGTCAGTCGTAGTTCCTATGAAAGGGAAGCCCGGCTACGGCCTAAGACAATAAAGACATCCCAGACAGCCGCCACATTGCTGCGTGCCGCAACACAGCAACATGCAATGCCGCCGCAGTTCAGACTAGCACTGTGGTATGGGGGCCCGCGACATCCGACGCGATCGAGAGAATGCCATCGACAGATGCTGTTCCGAGCCTTTGTTGCAAGGCAGTGGCAATGGCGTTTCTTCTGGGCCTTTGAGATCTGAATTCAGGATATCGAAGCAGCAGACTTTGTGGCCTTGGACCTTGAGTTCTCCGGGCTGTTTCTGGATGAGTGTGGGTCCAGACATTCTTCACTGGAAAAGTATTTTGCCAAGTGCATAGCCAGCATCCCCCAGTTTTTGCCACTGCAACTTGGAATATGTTGTGCTCGGCAGCGGCTATCAGACAAAGTCTGGGAATTACGGTCCCACGAATTCAACCTGTGGCCGTGTTCACGACGGTTGTTCATGTCTGACTTCAAATCACTGCGGTTCCTGAGAGAGAACGGCTTTGATTTCAACGCCTACCTGGATACCGGGTTCTCCTACTCCAGGCTCCCGGAGGCTCACCAACCGAAGAAGGCCAGAAGATTCAATGCCAATCAGTTAATACAGGCGCTGGAAGACAGCAAAGTGCCTTTGGTCGTTCACAACGGATTTCTGGACCTGCTGCACTTGTTTCATGGTTTTATTGGAGACTTGCCAGGTGAGTGCTGGGACTTCTTTGGAAGTTGGCTTGCGCACTTTCCGACGACTTTCGACACGAGACTGTTAGCGCAGGAGGGGCAGTACAAGATCTTGAGGGGCAGTGGGCTTACGCTGGAGGCTTTGCACGAGCAGCTGAGCAGATCCGGCAGAGGGCCGTGTGTGCGGATCGAATGCCATGGGCCACTCGAAGAGGACGGTCCATGTCATGGTTCCTCGGGACACGACGCCCTCCTGACTGCCAAGGTGTTCATCTGGGAGCTGGATTGTTGGATCCATCTGGAAGCTGTCGAGTATGAGCACAAAAAGCAGAGGAAGAAGCGCATCAGCGAGCTTGAGAATGCCCTTCTTCCGTTGAACTGGCAGGAGGTTCACCAGCTTGCCGAAGAGGTGGGTGTCAGCATTTACCGCTCGATCGTAAACGGCCGCTTTGGTGGACCGCATGGTGCCCGACGTCCTCTAGCTGAAATTCGCACAGCCATCGTGGCTGTACAGTACGACTCTTGTCGAAAAGCACTGGTTTGCTTTGCTTAGCTGGCCCTGATGAGACTTCGTCAGAGTTCTAGCGCTCATGACGGCTAAGGCCAAAGAAGTGGACGATCAGAGGTGTCAGGGGCAGGCCGGTCGCCAATGATCAGCTGTTGGGGATTCATGCAGCGCGGCGGCGGTGTATTTCAAGATTCTGAATATTGGCTCGGGCTTCCAAACCCGGGCCTGTATATGGCCTCCGCGAGCATAAAAATCACGTGTTTTTCATAGAATGAAACGAAATCTTCTGCACTCTGAACAGAAACAGTTTTCGACAACACGGAGTGCCCAGATGGACCGGCGGGTTTGCAATGCCCTGCAGGTTAGCTCACACAGCTCGTATGTCCTGAGTCAACATCTAAGTCGGCCGACCGTGGACAATCTGAGCTGAACAGCTACTTTGGGCATCGGCGTATTTTGCACTGTCTAATTTCCGGTTACAGTTTTGCCGTCCTTGGCTACCGGCCTCCCTATCCTGCGCTATGACCTGAGTCCTGCAACTGTCCTCTGTCCCGTCCTTGCTGGCTCGGTGCCCAAAACCCAACCCCGCCAGGGCCATGATTGGTTCCAACATGGAACATTGTCAGCCACCCTGGGTTGGAAGAGTGCAGATTGGCAGACCCCAAAGTAGACCAGTAGACCTGCTTCAGTTCCAAGACGTGCGAATCTGGACGACAAGCGGCATGGCCTCTCCAGTCCGCAGTGTTCTCGGGAACATTAACTGTTGACAGGCTGCGTGCGATCTGTCCTGCCGCACGAGCGAGACCAGTGCTGCTCTGACAGCAGATCTGCTCGTCTCGCACAAGGCGCATCGCGTCGGAATCTTTGAGACGACTGCACTGTGTGCAGTATTATGCAGGTATGCAAGAGGTTTCGCAATTGCCTGGCTGTCGTGGGTGCCAGCAGCAGCATCTAGCAGCCTTCATTTCTCCCTGTCTTCGGCAGTGACAGCTGAGGTGCTTCTCCTGGCCATATCCGTTTAGATGCCATCGCTGCCGCGGGAATGGCCAAGAAAGCAGATGTTGGCATCGAAAATGCTCGTGCCGTGTTGAGACATGGGCAGGGTTGAGCTGCACCTCGACTTTGCGACGCCAGGAGGCTTTCAGGTTTAGGATGTCTCCCGTGGCAGGCGATGCCTTCAGAACGGAGAGGAGGCCGTCGCCGATTCTCAAACTTGTCCGAATAGCTTGTTTCCAGCCAGATTGCAGCTGACGCTTCTCAAGTCTCTGCTGTAGAGCAGTGGGATTGGCTGTTTTCTGTGCCTTTGCGCAAGTAAAGCTTTAGTGGAGGTCGGCTCAGGCAAGCCGTGGTGTGATTCGGAGGCAGCATGTTCCATTGCAGGACGAGCTGTTTGGCAGACTCGCGTCAGCTAAATCACTGTGCATCGCAGGAAGGTGGAATCTGTTTGAATACCTCTTGTGAGGATGACGATGCAGCTTTTCGTCGGCGGCCGGGCTATGCATCGCAGTCCTGGGATTTCACCTCTGACCTTGGGCTGGGGCTAGGACCGCGCCGCTGAAGCCGGCAGTGACTCAAAATTCAGTTTCAAAGGCTGCAACGGGATCTTCAAGCTTAATTGTGCAGCTTGCATGCAGCGAGTGAGCTTAGACTTGGCGGGGCGAAAGACTTTCAGCATCTGCCAGACTGAGCAAGATCATAGCGGGAGATGAGGGAGTGGGTAAAGCATAAGAAGAAAACAAGCGTGAGGTCAAATGGTGGAAGCTGTCAGCTGAAAATGGAGACAGCGATGCCATGATGCGTTTGTCGCAGGCCATCCGTTGCGGGCACAGATTGGAAGCTTTTGTTGGAGATTCACAGTTGTGCGAGCCTTTGGTCTCCTTCGATCCGCTGCATGTCTGTGGGCATCCGGCTCAAAAGTTGGTGCTCTGCACTACACGCAATTCCCGCGCTCACTGTACTCCTGACTCTCGAAGTCCACGACTAGCCCCTGAGACTGCAGATTAGCTTTCGAAAGCCTCTGATGCCACACATGTTCTGCCTCTGTGTGTGGTGTTTGTCTCTTCTTGGCCTTGAGGCAAACTACTACCAATCACTTTGCACAAGCCTGGGCCTGAGCCGAAAGGGCACTTGGGCCGCCTGGCCCATGTCGGCTGCACCGTCGAACTGAGTTGGAGGTGACACGATGATCGAAACTCTCCATACTTTGTATGAGGCGCGAAGTGGGAACAAGGCTGCATGTGCAAGTGTCGACCTGCCCATGAGCGTTCGTAGTTCCGTGCGCAGTTGCATTCGGTAAATGTCGTGAGCCGCGGTCGTAGCTCCAAAAGTCATTGTGCGAAAGTTATGGGAGCAGCGACTAAACTTGTTGAGAGCAGCAGCTTGGGTCGCAGACGTGCTATTGACCCTTTATCGGCATTACTAGTCGTGCACACCGACCCACCGGAATCTTCATTTTCAGTGCCCAGCAAACCTTGTGAAGCTTTCCGAAATCATGCTACTACCAGTTCATTGACATGTCATTAGATGTGGCCGTCGATGGCCGTCGGGTGGTGCCCTGGAGACTTCCTGCCATCCAAACGGTGCAACATGCCTTCGACTGCGGTACTCGATTAGCTGGGTCAACCAAATTTCGCAGAACTTGCTCCAGCAACCCAGTCAGCCAACGTGCACGCGGCAGATTGTGCTCATGGCCAAGCTGGAGATTGCCGTCTTCATATTGGCCGCAGGTGCTCACCCTGTTCTATCACAAGGGAATCTGCTGGGTCTGATCTGAAACTTTTTGATTAATTCTGCGTTCGTGTTGCCAGATGCGAGGCCTTCATTTTCTCTTGTTCAGCAACTTGGCGCTCCGACGCTCGCAGTCCAAGCGGACGTCTCAGCTCGGCGGCAGCAGCCACGCACTTGCTGCGCGAGTGTACTGCGAGGCCCCGAGGCAAGTCAAAGCTGGATGATTCAGGCACGTCGGGCGTAGAGATGGGCAGAGGGCAGAGATGCGCCTTGTCACGACGTCTGGCGAGGCGATGGACCGACCGGGGGGGTCCCTTCACAGAAAACAGACAAATCTACGACGTCTCCATCCGCAACTGTTCAGCGCGCAATCAAGCCGCTGCTGCGTCAGCGTCACAGAGATACGCTTGCTATGCTGAATACGGTATAATACGGTGTAGTTCGGAATCATGCCTGTGCTGCACTTGCCTCGTGAGGCTCTGGTGCAAAGGAGGCTGCACTTAAAGATGAGGTCAGTCGTGTACTCGACTCGCTCAAGGCCTTACCGTCGTAGCTGTGAGATTTTGGAAAATGTCGCGTGTTACCCCAACAAGAAGAGGTGCCGGAAGCAGAACGCGAGGAAGTCCTTGCTGACGTATTGGACGGCGGGAACCGGAGGGTTTGTATGTGATTCTGCCGTCCTTTGGAAAATCCGACCATGACTTTCTGGTTCCAAGGCCTTGGTCGTCATGCTGAAGCGGAGCTGCTCGGAGCTGCACGGGACCAAAGCTGCCGGCGTCGCATCGTCTTGTCGTCCTTTGCTGTGCTTGCTGCGCTCGAAGAGGTTCGTGCTCTGGTTCCGAAAGTGACGACTTGGAGGATGGCTGAACACCTCCTCCGCCGGGTACTTGGCACCGCACTTTTTGACAGCACTGTTTGTGTTACTCGGTATACGGTTATACACCATCGGCCAATGCTTGTGCGAAGTACGCCCCCGAGCACATGTGTCACACGGGGCTTGATGAGTGCTCGCATGTCCACATAAAACTCGTTTTTGCATGGAAGAGCACGCATATGCAGGCATGTTTGGTGTAACGGTAGACTTGAGTTCGCTGGAGCATTTCGCGATTTTCGGGAGAGCGATTGCACCCTAAGTGGCGAGCGGGCACCCTGTCGAGATTTTACAAAACAGCGTCGGGAAGACGATTTTGAAAAGACGTTCCAGACATTTGCTAAAATTGAGGCGTGGCGGGGCCCACGGCCGGGAAACACATTCCAACGATTCTCCTCGACTCTTCCTGTGCTCTGTTTTAAAGTAAACCCACCCACCACCCACGATTCTCCTCGTTTCTCGCTGGGGCCTTCCGCCTCTCGTTGTTTCTCGAACTTTCTCGCCTTTTCGATAGACATCTGCAAGTTGAACCGTTGACAGAACGTCATCCTTGCGCCGGTGTTGTGCCTTGTTTCGTGTTGGTCGCAAGTCCCCAGGAAGCACCGAGATCATCTTTGCTGCACGCGCCGACGTTGAGAAGTTGTCATCGGTTGATTTTACACCTGGAAAGAAACATGTGCATGACGAGAGCTGAGGAGGTTGTTTGTGGGAAGCATGTGCCGTGCAGTGGCAAAGCAAGGGTTCTTGAACCTTTTCCTGTTTTAGTAGACTCGGGCCATACGGTGCCTGATCTCCCGAGGCTTCGTCGGCACCCGGGCACCCGGAGACGTCGAGGCGCTGCTGGCAGAGGCCGAGACCTCACATTAATGCGAACGTTGTATCTATTTTGCTGGTCTCCACGGTGCATGTACGTGTGTTAAGGCAATCTGTTGTTTTGGCGAGTTTTTTCAGGTCGAGTCACACCACGTTGATGCCAAAGAAACACTTCCACATGGTGTCGCGGTACCTTGGCTTGATCCACAGAACGACTTAAACGATCATGGTTGCGGATCTTCACAGAGGTCTTGTATGTGATGTCATGTGATGTCGTTGTCTTGGCCAAACGATCATAGTGTTGCAGAATCAGAAGCTTTGCTGCATCTTGGCAGTGTCAGCTTAGAAGTGTCTTCACGACAGAGGATGGTTACCGGGCAATTCTAGGAATAAGGCGAGATGTTGCTCGATGCAGTCGAGATGGCGGCTTGAAGCGAGATGAGTTCCTCATAACGGGATACAGAGAGATCAGTTCGGCAAGTTACGGTTAAGATGTCTTATGTTGAGGTAATCTATAACTAAAAAGAAGTGCGCTAAAGCCAGCTCTACCTTCCGACTAACTATCACAGAAAAAAGCATTCACGAATACACTGACGGCCCTTGGTGGAGAATTACCAGGCATTGTGTGAGAATGTCCGAGAATCACCAGACTTGAAGCAGCATGAAGCAGCAGGTTTCCTGCCACCAAGCCTTCCACCGCATCCTTGACACTGTCGTGAAGACCGATGTTGACCGATGCTGGGTGCACGTCTTAAAGCTTGGTCGATGGAGACGCAATCGTCTGGCAAAGACGGAGTTGGCGCCTTGCCCAGGACGTGCTAAAGCGCATGGAGGCTCGCTGCGATGGGGGGCCAGGGGCGGCTCGCAGGTGCGCGCCAAAGAATGAACATCTCATGTTTTCTCAAGCGCGAGGCACTTGGTCTGTCGCCGAACAATGTCACGTGCTCTATTCTGCTCAAGGGTGTTCAGAAAGGAATGCAGGAAGCTGTTGCCGTGATTTGCCGTGTCCATGTAATCAGACAATTCGTTCGATCCACCGGTGCATGAGGAGGGATATCTGCAGAAAGTGATGAAGATCATCGACGCACGTGAAGTCAAAGACATGGACGAGGCTTTGGATTGCACAGCTGGCCGATGTCAGTCAATTCTGGCTGTTTCACAGGTCTTGCTGGGATCCCTCTACGAAGCTTGTATTCGTTGCGGTCAAGCACCTCGACTCTAATCGAATGTCTTGTGGCGTCGAGGCAGGTGCTGTAGGTCAGCCACTAAAGCCAGAAGAGCGTCCACGTTTGTGTTGTGTTGACGGCTATTGCGACTCGACGGAATTCAAAATGCTTGCCCTTTCCCTGTGGAAGCCGAGGTCCAATATCTTCTGAACTATGTGAAGCGACTTCGTGAAGAGAGCGGCTTCGTCCAGGCTGCTCTGATCGCAGCAAAGCTGCCTGTCGACTTTGAGTCTAATTGAATTCCTTCCACAAGTCAGGTCCGCAGTGCGCACACCGTGGGCTCCATCATTCGTGCTTACGGCGCAGCGGAGGACTCCGGGCATGAACAGTTTGCGAGTGATATCAGCCGCATGAAACTGTCGGCCGGCCAGCTTGCATATGAACTGTTAGGACGTAGATGGCGTTTGGGCCACATGGAACGAGATGAAGCGGAAGCAGATCCAGCCGACAAGAATCACATTAGGCTGCATGGTGGAGGCGGCTTCAGCGTGTAGCTATGAGACTGTCAGAGTCAATTGCTCGGTATCGCAGGCGCTGGCTTCCAACAATGATGCCGAAGGCCAGTTTTCTGGGAAGTAGTTGGGAAGTCGCAAGATGGACCCTATGCTAAATGAAGCTGAACATGCCGACACATTTTGGCGCGTTGAATCCTCCTGCAGAGGTGCCTACGAGATCATTCAGCAGGCCACATGTGTGAACATTCCTGGGCTAGCAGAGAAGCGGCACAGTGAATTGATCATTGATCAAGACGGGAGCCGTTTGTACAGACAGCACAGCTTGCTACAGATAAAGTGTCAAGACCGGCCGGAACTGTGTCGAAGGTTTTCGCGCTGTCCACAGACCTCAATCAGCACGATGCCTTTCAGTCAACATTTTCGGTTTCTGTTGCGACCCAACGGACGGCTATGCATGCAAGTGTGCCTACACACACAGACAAACACTTGTGAAATCCTCCCTCTGATTGACTTGTTTCTGAAAGACACTCCTAATTTCAGAAGCCTCTTCGTTTGGCAACCAGCTATGCTCACGGAGTTGCTCCCCTGCTGAAGATTGCAAAGCAATCCAGATTCTTCATTGTCCTATCCCTTGGTAACAGGGTTGTACACACACAACCAGCCATAAAGGGTTTTGTCTGACCACCCTGCTGAACTTGATAAAAAGCAGTTCACTTGAAGCGAAGGTAATGCACTCGGATTATTTTAATCTCTTGCATCCGGTGCAACTCGTACGAAGAAACTGGCTCCAATGTCTTAAGGACAGTACTTAATGGGCTCAGTAAATGCTACATGACGGCCAGCTTGATGCAATTGAAACGATGGCAGTTGCAGTCTGCGACCGGTGACGTCTTTGACACGATATTGCAGAATTCTTTTGACCTCGTCGATGGTGTACGAGGAGTGGCAGTTGAGATGAAAAATCATAGCGTGTCCTCCGGTGCAGCGGTCTGGTGGAACAAGAACCACCACACGTACCAAATGGGATTCGGCAGGGAATCCCTAGTTTGGCAGCACACAGATGGTGTGAGGGGTCAAGCTTTCATGGCTTCTTCAACTGTACACTTTGCGATGACGATGTTGAATGCTTCAGATGTCGATATTGAGAAGAGTACCGATGGTGCAGAGTTGGCTACAAAATTCGGACTTCATTCCGTCTGCGGTGCAGGTTGGGCAACCTTGTTCGTCAACCGGCTCAGGTTGCACTTGCTGAATGAGGAAAAACTGGATGATCGGAATCAGCTTTGGCACGTGGATGGCCGAAGCTTATTGTGGTATGCCTTGGGTAGGTTTTGCTTGCCCATGACTGAAGAGGCAGAGAGATGCGAGCTGAACTACGACAGTGCTAAAAACTGTGCAGGGTTAGCAGACAATCTTGCCTTTTTGGATCTGCACAACTTGCAGTGCTCATATCCAAAGGGATCCTTGAAGGATACCGGGAAAGCAAGAAATCAGCTGGTGAAATGCTGACAAACATGATGCGCACGAATTAAAGCCTTGCTCATTCCCGGCGAAGCTGCTCGTTTTCGCTTTCTTGGCGACTCAGATCTAGTGGGCTGCCGTGTTCTGATGGTCTTCTTGGGGGGAATTTAGGTCGCGATCTTTGGGACGTCTCCGTAAAAACCACTGTCTAGTTGCAGGAAACCAGACTTTCCACCATTGGGGGCCATCTGTTGCCCAGGAGTACCGCCATGATTGTTGTGGCGATCGAGATCTTGGTGCATCAGGTATTATTGGAAACTGGACAGGAAAATGAGCAACACGGCTGACATGGCAATGTAGTGACATCATCAGCTAAGCATGGGACATGTGCTGCACCGAATTCGATCAGCTTCATCATGATGGACGTGACTTTTGTGTTCAGGGACTAGTTGTTGCTCTTGATCTTGCCATCGGCGCCCGGGCTCTGAAATCTTGGCGTGGGCTGGATTTGTGGAAGATCTTGGCTCTCCCTTTGCGGGATCTTTTGTGAGCTTATTCCACTCTCCCCAGTCATCTTCAAGAGCTAGGGTTGAAGCAGGTCCAGCAGCAGGGTTTGAAGCTGCTGCAGGAACAGGAATTGCACTGTCCTGCTGCTCCATTGGAAAAATCAGCAGCGTCTAACGGTGCCAAATGCCACACACAATCTACTCTTGCAGCGAGCCCTTATGGCCCACTGCCGGTCCGAAGAAGGCGAATGGACAAGGGGGTGGTACTTGCATAAATGATTTTCAGATTTTTATGAGTGACATTGGCAGACTTGCTGCGAATGTGAGAATGGATCATGTGGCCGCCGAAAAGTATTCCACAAGGGTTTTTCGTGGAATGATGCAGTTCATTGACGAATTGCTGTATTCCTTCCTCCCAGTCTGCTTTATCGCAGACTCCTCTTAAAAGGAGAACGTATCTCCATTTGGCGGAATGGAGGGTACTTCTATGTCGGCAGGCAAAACTTTCCTAAAGCAAAAGTCCCGATGGCCCCATTGTGGTTTGTTCCATGAAGCCAGGTGTACCAAGTTTGGTCCTGCTTCGGTGGCCCGGGCATATGCTGCTGAAGTGGAAATTCATACACAGTGACATTCTGGTTCTCGTGCGTCCAGTGTGTAGCTTCCTTCAAAAGATGATCCTCATAGTCAGTGTTGCTTCGCAAAATTGCTTGAACGAACATTGGTAGCTCTCTTCACTGAGTAGAATGAGCTGTAGGCGGAGCAGGAAATCTGGAGCAAAGGAGTTGAATCCATAAGTCTGTCCCTATAGACTTGATTGACTCACTCGGTCTGATCCATTTTCGGACAAAGACCCGGCGTGCCTGGACTGTTAGGGCGCTATATCGTGCCGCAGGGCGTAATCAAGAATCGATCGACATCAGAGGGGGCATGTATCAAAGCACCTTGGATTATTTCCTGGAGGCCTGGACGGAGAGGCCAAAGTGTATGCCCGTGTGCCACCCTCGGGTACAGCATGTTTCGGCAAACAGCCTCTGTCTTCTCAAGCAGTACGAAGACCAATTTGGCCGTCCTTTCAAGGATGGCACACAGCCCGATTGGAACACGTTTCCTTGTCCGGATCCAATCGTCGCCAGCGTCGTGGCGTGGGGACATTCAATGCATGATGATCATTGGGCTCAAGCATTGCTAGTCGGATGGAATACATGAGCGATGAACCCGTAATCCCGACACGGTCAAGGAGGCAGCCGACAGAAGGCTAGCAAGGTTCGCGGATTTGCTGATCCAGCCCAGCCAGCACCTTCGGGAACAGGCTCTTTACAGGGAAACGAGTTTCTGGTGTTTCAGCTTCTGGTTCACAACGTCCAGCCGAACCTGCACAACTTCTTGGCGGGAAAGCTCAATCTGGCAAAGGTGGCAAGGGAGGCAAGTCCTCCAAGGACAGAGACAAAAAAACGCCAAGGCAGAGGAAAAAACTTACTAGATTCTGACTCTGAGTCGGAACGAACGGTCTACGGACCAGCACCTCGCGCTCCTCCTGTTCGGCCCAATCCTTTCGCTCGTCGACAACAACAATTACCATTGGGACGGCGATGGGACTCGGAACCGTCACTGGGATGGTGACAGTAACTGGGATGACGATGTCGAGGTGGTCGATTGAGTTCTTTCACAGGAATGCTTATCACAGGAGAAGGTGTCCTTGTGTCTGCTTTTACGGGTTTCTTGAGGAAGATGCTCTTCACAGGAAAGGGTACTTCCCTCATACATTTGCCCAAAAGCCAATGAGACACTTCTCACTGGAGAAGATACTCATACAGAATCCTTTGCGATGCTCTCGAGCCGCCATGGCCATAGCCGGCATCAAGTCGAGCTAAGTTCTACCTTTTTGTGCAGTATGCTTTCCGCAAGGGCATAAACACTTATTGTCTGGGAATGTTTGGAACTCTCCAATGGACTCCGGCTGTCGGCCAATCATGCTACTTTTGCCAAGAGGCACTGGCAGATCCGGAAACGGCGACCTTGGTCAATGCAGCCCCTTGTCAGAAGATAGTCCAGGA